ATAGGGCCCCATGTCTGCATTTATTGCTCTCATGGTGCTATAACTGTAAATTCAGATTGACAGCAGCAGTCTGTATATTTGCACAAAATAATAACTTTCCAGAAGTTGATTTCCATAAGTGAAATGAATAAGACAAAATGCCTGGCAGAAGATCTGAAAAATGCATTATGAAATTGAATACCCACATATGCTTTTGAAATGTGTCAGCAGGAAGGTATAAATGATTTGCAGGAAATTAGCTAAAACATGCCAAACGCTGATGTGATTCTTTGAATTTGCTGAAATGGATTTGGATGTCTGATAGTGAAACTTATGATGATGTGGTAATCATTATCCTGCTCTGACCTCATTCTGAAGATGCAGATGTTTACAAATCCCTGCTTGTCAGACACTAATGCATTGGTATATTAGCTAATGGACAGCAACAATGGTGTGCCAGTCTAAAAGATCTAGCTTCATCTTGAATCAGTTGAGCCATTCATCACAGAAACCTCTCTTTTCAAATGTTGCTTTCTTTTGGTTTGCAATGTGCTGAAAGCTCAAAAAGAGGCTGCAAGATTATCCCTTTTTTTTTTAATTTTACATCTGCAACTTCTCACCCTCCTGCAGCCTTGTGATCTTTTCCCTCCCTGGCTTTTGCCGCAGAGGGCAGGAGGTCCTGCCAGCTAGCTTTATGAGCTGTTAGAAACCCTGAAGGCATCTTGTAAATGACCAATTAAATGAACAGAGATCATGAAGGACTGCATACCTGCCCAGAGGGAACCTTAAAATCTAATAAGGGAACATTTGGAGCGTGCAGGAAGCTCTACTGAGGAAAATTGCAGCTGTGGAATTCCCCTTGCCACTCCACTCCATCCCTAACCTCCTGCTCAAGACCAATTCAAAATATCAAGCTGGTACTGTGGAGCTGGAGGGAATGAAAATCAATTTCTCACATTTCCATTCATCAAATGATAAAGTGAACATGGGCCTCAATGGTCCAAGGCCCAGCAGGATGTTTTCAGCCTGAAAAATATATGAGTGAAATGCAAAGTCTCCTTTGGAGTGAGGAATAAGGTCGCCAGCAGCAAACATGGAGAGATGATTATTATGCTGCATTCATATACAACCACGTGCCATTACCCTGACAGCTTGAAGAAATGACACAAAAGCAAACAGGAGCTACTTTTGCTTTGCCTTATATTTGCAACACAGGCATAGCAATGCTGTTTAATTCCGTGGTCAACACAGGGCATGACACAGCGATTGATTGTTCTGTCAGACTGCTCTTATTGCTTGGTTTTTACATTTAGAACACAAAGTGTCAGACATGGCATACAGAACAGACAGCACAGACAGAGAGAAAACCAGAGTAAGACTGTTGTTTCAAAGACGGAGGGCTCGCCTCTGTACATTACATCTGCACATGGTGTGGGAGATGGCAAGGAAGTGGGCCTTTTTTTTTTGGGGGGGGGGGTGCAGTAACACCCATCAACTCCTTCTTTGAACTCATTTGTTCAAAGAAGGTTTTAAGAGGAGACAATCAACAGGAAGTGAAGGTAGGTGTCCCTACTTTCATAACAGGCTAATACTGCACTGACCAGAAGAAGGACAACAAAGAGATTCTCCTTCATTAGTAAGGATCAGTCTTTTTACAACTTGGGTCTTATTTTCATAGTTATGGTCATCCTTCTTATGAGTAATAATAACTATGTAATCAGCAGTGGTCATTAAAAATAGGTTATGAAACAGGAGTGGTCAGAAGATCAGACAGGTTCTTCAACCACTATAAGAGCCAAATAGGTCATTCACTCAGCAGTCTATTTATTTGCTATTTATGTACACTGGGTGGTGCTTCATTGGCATTTGGAGTTTTAAGGTATAAAGGTAGGAACAACATTGTTGCCGTCAGGTTTTGCATTCCAGAAGAGCAAAAGGTTTTTGACCACTGTGGTGGTATGCAACATGCTATGTGTTCAGTTTGAATGAAAGATTAAAAAAAATGGACATGTATTCAACCTGTGTTTGGTGCTATGAATAAATACTTTGATAGTTCTGCAACTGGAACCTGCAGTTTATTGTCCCCAACTCAACACAACCAAGGACGATGTGGCATCAGCCACGTAAAGCGTGTCAGCCAGGTCAGGCCAAGTGAAATATCTCATGTAGCTGCAAGTAATAGGCTTAGCTCCTACAACCACTGTATGTCCACATATGTAGCATTTATAAGCAGTATAACATTCAATTAATGGTTTATAACACACTATAATGTAGTTGTACACAGCCATTTAACAGTGCTCTACTATACTGTCATTCTTTATCTCTTTATAATACAGCCTCGACTTATGGGTGCCTACAGGAGAAGTAAGTTGTTGACTAGGGTTGTGCAATGTCTTCTGGGAAGGCATATGATAGAAAAAAAAATGCATTAAATACCCGTTATCAACCAATCGAACCAGACCCGACCCACCATTTTTATGCATTACAGTGGCACAATTGTCAGAACTGAGCGTGTGTTGGTGTGTGTTTGAGAGGTGGGTGGCAGTGAAACTGCTGTAATAAAGTTAAATAAGTCTTGTAATAGTTAAATAAATCAAAGTGGAATCACTGGTTTTTTAATTTTGAACAGTTAGCAGAAAGTCAGACTGTTACCATTGCACCTTCTAATGTGAGGATTAATTCATCGTGGGCTGTAAACAAAATAACAGCTCTCCAGTTCATATGTTAGTAGTATTTGTAAGTCACAAGGGTGATCCGTGGTCACAAAATGTGGCCGTGAGTCACGGTTTGGAGCCCTGCAGATACAAAAACACACACCTCACCTGCTCACACTATGGTTAAACTCAGTTAAACTCTTACAATGGCGCATGTAAATGTGATGATTTATTCACTGGAAACTGGAAACAAACTAACAACTCTCCAGTTCATATTTTATGTGCAAGTTGCACTAGTAGTCCAGACCTCCAGATCGTGGTCTGGAGCCGTGATATAAAAACACAGCTCACCTCGCTTGCTCACAAAGAGGAGAGAGGGATCTGAATGAGAAGAGTGTGAGGTACGAGGTATCATGTTTGTCTGATATGATTTGAGTTTTTCTTTATGTATGTGTATCTGTCTGCGAGTCTAATGCTCACAATGTTCACAATATAGTCATTTCACATATCACACACGGAATAAGCCGTAATACATTAAGTATATTTGATATTCATCTGGCTCATTTGGTTTATAAATTACAATTGTTAGTTTTTAAGCACACAATGAATGCCATTAGCGGTACAGCAAACCCAAACCACAATGTTAGGGGAACTGCTCATTGGTCCAACAGCCCATTATTCCGACCATATTAAACCCATTGTTCCGAAGTCCGTTCCAAAATCATGATGATGCCCTGTGGTTAAGGTCTGGTTAGGTTTAGGCACAAAAACCACTTGGTTAGGGTCAGGAAAAGATCATGGTGTGGGTTAAAATGAAAAAGAAAGTGACAAACACATAAGCCGTGAGCCTGCTCCGCCTCAAGCCTTTCCCAGCTGACCCAGAGCCAGTCGCGGCGCACCATACACCCGCCGCGACCCGTTCAGCACCGCGGACGGTCGGACTAATGGGATGTCGAACCAATGGGCTGTCGGACCAATGACATGGACCCGATGTTAGTGTGGATAGGCGGGCAGGGCTTTTAAATCTGGATGTCAGGCTTAATTGTTGATGACAATGATGGTAACGTCCTTTTGGCCCAACCTTACTGCTGCAAAATACATTAACAAACAGACTGGCTACATAATAGTCTGTAAAAAAAAAACATTAAATGTCTAAATACTGCTTAGAAATACTAAATAGAGGGACCTAATGTTTTTCTACCAAACTTAATGAAATAAAGCCAATGTCAAGTGTCTGTTAACAAGTAAAACACACTGTTAATGGGTCGACACAGGATACGCTTAAAAAGAAAAAGAAGATTCAAGTTAGAGACAGAGCGGGACAGTGTTGAAACTGATACCCCTTGGCCCTGGAGAAATCTCTCTCTGATGGGCTGCTTTACAGTACATCAGATCTTCCATTACACCTTCCATCAGAGCAACTATTAGCCATTCTGAATTGTGGTTTATAGCCAATATTTCCTAACACGTACACTTCTTTTATTACTGGCAAATGTTCCTTTTAACCAAATGCCCGGGATTAAACACCATTAGAAAAACCACCTAACTACTAAACTAAGATCACTACATGGATGATACAGAGATACCTGTACATGCTATCACTGACTGAGACCTTATCCAGGAGTTGGATGTCTACTATTTATCTCTTGTGCTGACTTTAGCTGTGTGGTCATAGCTGTGGCTCTTCTCATTTCTGTATTCTTTCACAGCTATTTACTCACTCATTATTCACACATGGTTCTTGTTTTGACCCTGAAAGCTATATAAAGTATGATGGTGTGCATAGTGAAAATAAAAACCGAGCTAAAAGGTGGTTGATAAAGTAGGATACTGAAACAATAAACATAACTTTAACACAGACTAACACATTAAGGCCTGCATGTTGGGGCAGAGTCCTGCACTGGGTCAGGTACCCGTGGGTAACCAAAAGGTACCCCACAAAAAGCTGTGTAATGGGTAAAAATATGTATATATATAAATTTGTGGGTATGGGCATGAGTAAAAATAAACTACTCATGGGCAAGCAAAAACATATTTTTTATTTTTCAGAATAAAACAACTAAAAAAGATTTGCAGTATATGTGTAATATTTTGACAACTAAATCCCTATTATCAAGCTGCAATTCCTTTTATTTTGAAAGTCAATGACACAATTGAGTCAATGACCCCATTGTCACATTTGTCACTGACGTAGAGGACTCCAGCTATGAAAAGCCCGAGGATTAGGTTGCAGCCTACATGGAGTTCGAGACACCCAAGGAGGATCCTTTTCAGGTTTTATGATGGTAAAAGGAGCATGCTAAAATTTTTCCTAACCTGGCAGTGACTAAATGTTTTCACCATCCTGGCATCAAGCACAGCCAGTGAAAGAGACTTTTCCTCCGCTGGATTTGTAATTCAAGAAAGGAGAATCCAGCTTAATGTGAGTGACTGTAACCTGTGTGTCTTTAATCGGGTTGGGATATAGGACTTTTATTAATGGGTGTGCGCGGGTATGGCTTTGACCTAGACATAACTGGTAACAGATCGGTTTTGGTACAGAGTTTTTGGCTATGGGTGGGTGCGGGTTTTCAAAAATGGACCCGTGCAGGACTCCATGCTGCGGTGCTCACACATGGGTGTGTATGCCTGTGTTGGTAAGGGTCCTTAGTGAAAATAGTGCCCAGGATTGATGGGCATGATAATCTGTTCATAACAATACAAAGGCAAATCATATATTATTATCCAAAGTGACCATTACGAACATCCATTACAGTTTAGAGACAGTTGTGGTGATATCATCCCAGATCTCAGCAATCAGCTTGGAGAGTACAATGTTATTCTAAAAGATACTGTAGAAATAATGTCTAAACCTAAGAAATTAAGACCCAAGTTGTAATAAATCAGCATACCTTTTAACTATCATTACTTCTTATATACATAAAAACAAACAATGACATTATTTTCCGTAAGTATTAAGATGTAACATACTGTACATCACTGCCATGCATTGCATTTCGAGTACCTCAGCTGAGGAAAAAAAAAATCCCATTTTTATATAGTAGCTGCATTTGTCAAAAGCTGTCAGCACTTTATGGACTTAGGAGTCCAGGTGGTTTGGTTCAAAATTGATTGCACAGTGAAAACAACCACCCTTCTATCTCTCCTTCACTAGACTGTGCACACTGTGTCCTGGAAACAGGCAAACCCATTTTGGCATTGAGATGCAAGTTGATTTCTGGCAGGTAAACAGTCTGTCAAATTGCTTTGCTCATCTGTGACAGTGTATGGTCTGTTTATTGTTCCTTCAGTGATATAAAACATTTGCCAAATCCAATTGGAGGACAAGCAAAGACCATAACCTCTGTGTATAAATATTCCACTGAAGATTGAGAATGATCGGAAGATCCTTGTGAGAATTACTGTATTCCAAATGATCCGGGGCTCACTTTCTCTCTGCCCCAAGCAGAAAAAAAACTAAAAACATATAGTGCAGTTTAAAATCCAGGGGAAATATTAGTATGATCCTCAGTTATCAGGGTCATCAGAACTGTCACCAGCAGCCATCACTGGAAAGGTCCAGAGCCAAAATTCTTATCCCACTGAGAACAATGCTGCTCTAACTGGACAAGCAGTTTGTCCACTGAGTCCTCTTTGTTCTCTAGTTTGAGGTATCGTCTCCCACTGCCCAGGTCTAATTGAGGCCAGCTTCTGTGAGTTTGCTCCTCTGCAGCATCCACAACCTGCCAGGGGATGTTCACGCAAACCTGTGAACCAGCCTCTCTGCTTGTGACTACCAGCTGATTTATTTCAGCCTCCTTGCCGGCTGTGTGGAGTCCATCCTCCAGACGCACACCATTTTGGGCTATATAAGGGTTAGTCCTGTAGCTCATACTGTGGCAGCGCCTTTGCTTGACAGCTGGGGTATCCACCTCGTCTAGGGTAGACATGGAGCTGGCAGACACCAGGCAGTTGCTGAGCTTGACGAGTGGAGCGGGCTGCAGATTGAAGCTGGTGCTGCCCCTGTGCTCAGCACCAGACTCTGTGTTTAAGTTTGTCTCGCTGGAATTACATGAGCTGGAGTTAGAAGGTGGAGGCTCTGACTCCTGGTGGTGAAGAGCTTCAGTCTGGAGAACAGCTTGCTGGTAGATGCCCTCCAAACCATCAATCTGGTCTCTGAGATATCTGGTCTGAAGCAGGGGCTCAGAGCTGGCCAGCTGCTGCAGACAAAGGATGTTGAGATGAGCAGCTGGTAAACTGCTCACCCACTGGTAGTGTTTTGCCATCGAGTTGGCTGCTGCAATTTCTTTAAGGTCTGCAGAGGGAACAGCCGCAGACACAGAGCAGATTACACTGCGCATTTGAGCCAGAAGCATCTGAGTCTCTCTGTCCCTGTTCTCGTAAAGGACTGTGTTGGCACATATGAGGATAAAGAGACCAACTCCCATGATGACAGGTCCCAGCAGCTTCATCCGCTCACTGTGGATGAGGCCAGCTGTGGATAGGAGGCCCTTAGCTCCCAGACTCCAGCCAGAGCTCTGTGACTCAGAGATGCTTTCCCCCTCTGCAGCTCCCAGGATGGATGATCTCGATATCCGATAGGGCCAGTATCCCGCCACAGCCAGAGCCGTGCCAACAACCACCACAATTACCCCCAGCACAAGAAAGGCTCCAGGCAGGGAACGGATGCGAAGCTTGCCTTGGATCACCCTGTCCTTTTTCTTTCTGCCTCGTAAGGTGAAGCGAGACTTCCGTCGGCTGGGAGGCGAAGCTGATGTAACACCTTGGGCCTTCTGGGTCTTCATAGCACAGGTCAGCCCAGAGCTGCTGCTCCTGGTCAAACCCTGTCAGAGGACTTTGGGAGTGAGGACATTTTAAGAGTTAATGCAGCTAATGGTTTATCTACATGTTGCATCAATTAATTCAAATACTTGTGAATCTGTATCTAAGGGTGCACAAATACATCAGTCACTTTATCTTTTTTAACATAAAATGTAATTATGCATTTTGCCATTTATTTTAACAATAGTATATTTCTATTCAATTTTGAACAAATTTAAAGCCAAGTACACAAATTTAAAATTTATAAATGATGCCCACTAGTGGTAGTATCAAAAAAGACAGTGTGACAGAATAAATGGGCTGAAAGCAATACATAGACTACAAAAGAAAAACTGATATTGTCAGAATAATCTAAACTATGTCATCATCTCAAGAGATGCATGATAATATATGCACATCATCGGTATCAGCCAACATTGGTTTTAAAATGAATTATCAGAATCGGCCAATGTACTTTTTCTTATTTTGCACAATGAATGACACACATATGAATGATTACATACATTGAACACTATTGTATTTCATGTCTCCATCTACTGGTGGGCCAGTATGTTGATGTTAATTCCACTACAGAAGAGACTTGATGATCTAAAATCAGGTGGGGGAAAAAAGTGATTATATCGATATCAGTATTGGTTATTGGCCAAATGAGTTGTTACATATTGACATATCGAATATCTGCAAAAAATCCAATATTGTGCATCCCTAACCATCACATAATGAGTTTTTCTACAAAAGGGAATCTTTTAAGGATCCATCTGTGGTTAAAAAAAAACCTCCCAAAATGTCTAATCATACCACCAGACTAAATCCCTTTCCCCTTTCTATATTCTCTTTTCTTATAGCATCTATGACTGTCAATATTGTTCCAGTATATGAAGGAATATGGTGTAAGGTTTGGTCTCAATAATGTTTGGTAAATCTGTATTCATTCTCAATAATAAAATTAAAGCAAAAACATATCAAATAACATTTTTTAACTAACTTGGCTAACACTTTTTACAACCTAATTAACGCCTTTTCTGTCCACGTGTTCCAATGGATCCACCATCTATAGCACTTTTTTTTACAGAGATTCTGAAATACTGTTGTAAAAGATTTGCCAATGTGCAGGCACCGCTTAGGAGGAGACTTGATGATCACTAAAAATAGGGGGAAAAGTGGATATATCAATATCTGGGTTTGGTGGATGGGTCCAACAACCACCGACTTTCACCCAGGAGGTTGGTTTTCGCCTCTTGATGATGATGAGGATTGTAAAGCTAAACCCTATTCTTTTTTCCTAAACCCAATGATGAGCTTTTGTTACCTATACCTAAAAAGAGCTTAAAGGGACATTGTGTAACACTTTCAGTTATTAATTGGCAAAAATTGATGTCTGCATTCATAAATATGTCATCATTGGTGTATCATTAACTCCATCAATAATCTGACTTATTCTCGTAAAAGCAGAATTGGATTTGTTTGTACATTGTGCGGGTAAGTCGTCTGGGGGGTTCCATAGAGTTTCGGCATCTTGAGAATACATCCACCAGCAAGGGACATACAGCCCCGCCTTTGGCGTTTTCGTTGAGAGCCAGGCCAGTGCTGCATAACTGACAAGCCAAAGGAGAGGGGCAAGAGGCGCTTCGCTACTACCCCGGCAAATTTTAAAAGCCTGCACTACTGCAGCATAACAAAGTCCCACTCTTTGAGCATAATGCAGGATCATGCATATGCAGCATCACGGGAGATGGAATCCTTGTCACCAAGAAAGCACAAAAGGCAATCAAAAAGGCAACGTGACCGGCAAATTCTAAAAACGAGGGTCAACATCGGGGTAGCCTTTCCCAGGTGGAAAGAGCTGCTGAAGGAGAAAGGTAATGCAATTATAGGCCAGCGCCACTAACAGCGCCTAACAGCGCCTAACAGCGACAAGTGGCTCAACCTCACACCTCATCCCTCTCCTCACATCAAGGCCTGTGATTGCATTACCTTTCTCCTTCAGCAGCTCTCTCCACCTGGGAAAGGCTACTCCAATGTTGACCCTCGTTTTTTGAATTTGCCGGTCACGTTGCCTTTTTGATTCCCTTTTGCGCTTTCTTGGCGACAAGGATTCCATCTCCCGTGTTGCTGCGTATGCATGATCCTGCATTATGCTCGCTGTTGCAATACGCATTTGAAACAGCATGTTTTAACGGCTTTAAAACACACAATGCACGTAACAGACTGAAGTTGACACGGCATCCCAGAATGTCAACAACCAACACACCCAGGGTAGCTTGCACAATGTAGCCTATCTAAGCGTGGAAGGGTCATGACCAAACGTCAATATGTGATAAGGTTGGAGTGAGAATGTTTTGGCAGATAAGTTTCTACCAGATTGTATGATGCTGTCTTCAGTAACATCATCCTGTACCAATCACAGTTCTTGTGGCCTCCATGATTTATCTCAGTAGCGACCCTTGTCCCATTATGTAGCTACATTCTTGAGAAAGTATATATCATCCCTGGCAAGTTCCCTGATAGCTTCAAAGCCTCTGTAACACTTTGCCATAGAACGCATCTGGCTTCAGATGAGGAATTAGCTCTAGTTACAAGCGAATACTTTCTTCTGAAATGCATTTTATCTGTCATCACGACAGAGACATTACACATTACACATAGATCACTGGAATCCAGACATATTTAGCCCTGCCTTAAGTCAGTCATCCATTGGTCAGTGGTTGTTCACAACATACAGTCCTTTTTCAGTTTTAAATCATTTCAATTTAATTAAAGTCCTCAAACTGTTCCAAACCTTCCATGTCTGTGGGGAGCTTGTAAATTCAATGAGGTACAAACAAAAGTAGAGGAACACTCACACATGTGCTGTTCTTCTTGAGCTCCCTCATGGTCATAAACAACATAGAGTGAAATGGAAAAACAGCTTCAAACACTCTGACTGCAATTACTGTGAGGTCCTGAGCATATTGCAATGAGAGTAAAATGTTCTCTCTATGCTGACTATCAGACAATGCATATTCTTATTGTGATGGCCCAACAGCAGATGGAGACATGAAATACAATACCTTTCAATGTATGTAATATTCATTCATTGTGCAATTTAAGAAAAAGCATGTTGGCCTATTCTAATAGTTAATTCTAAAGCCAATATCTGCCGATACAGATGACTAAGGGCGGGGAAAAATCAATACAGCGTGGGATTGTGATATTTTGTGTGGCAATGCTGTATCAATACATGGTTGCCAAGTATCGATCTTTTATTATACATTATTAATTTTTGCAAATACACATTTTAATACAACCTTTGTTACTAGAATAATAAAAATCAATTGCTTTTTTGGTCCACTAGATTTTGCTGATTTTTTTTTTTTTTTTTTTAGTTTCTTTGTTGGTGAGGTCAGCAGAGATCTCAGTCAGCAGCATTTGGCAGGAAGTTAATCAAAACAAAGATGGAGGCACCAGAGAAAGAAATCAGAAATGCGCCGTCTGCATTTAAATCAAACATCTGGACTTAGTTTGGATTTTTTTAACACAGAAGGAAAGGGGGACCTGGATATGACACTTATGACACATGCAATTTGCAAGCAGTGTCGTATGAGAAAAAAATACTCTAGGAATACTACGAATATGAGGGCTCACCTCATACACCACCATCCAGAGATAGTGTTAGCCACTGACGGTCAAGCTAATGCTTAACCCGCTCTGCCAACACTGGACACACTTAGTTTGACAAAACCACCATCCAACTCTAAGAGAGCAAAGAAAATATCATAGTCCATCACCTATGTCATGTGCAAAGATCTCCATACAGCGTTGTTGAAAACAAAGGCTTCTGTTTACATGCTAAGAACACTGGAACCCAGGTATGTGACTCCACCCCAACATTTTTTCAGCAACACAGCTGTACCCAAGCTCTACAGAGAAGTGAAGCATAAAGTTGAGAAATCTTTGAGTACAGCAGGAAGGGTGGCATTAACTTGTGATGCCTGGACTTCAAGGTCAGTTGATTCATATGTGACTATAATGGCACATTATCTCACAAAGGACTGGCGACTGCTGTCTCACATTCGCCAAACTAGAGCACTACACGTCACAAAGTCACACCGCAGCAAACAAAGTAGACCTCCTGCTAAATGCACCACAAGAATGGGGGATTGTTGTTGTAACAGACAACACTTCTTACATGGGTGTTGCCATTCAGTGAAGTGTAGTGTTTGGCTCACGCACTGCCAACAGTTCAGTTTGCCAGGTGTATGCAGCATTTCTGACAGGTTTTATGAAGGTGCTGGTCAGTCTGTCTGCTTTGCATTACATTTTGCTGCAATAAAAATGATTAAAGTCAGATGAACAGATTGAAAACTTTATCTTATGAGGTAAAACTGATGTTGATAAAGTTTTCCTTTGAGTAATTAATTTGCAATTGGAAAAAAGGTGATAAATCACAACATATCACAATATATTTTATCACAGTAACCTAAGTATCGTGATATATCGTATCGTGGGTCCCCTGGCAATTCCTGCCTCTACCGATGATGTCCCAATATTATCATGAATCCCTATTATTAATCATTAACAATACTTGGAAACCACTAATAAAATGGCCAGGTTTAATTTTATTGAAATTGATAATATCAGAGTACTTCTGTTTGTTTGTGTCAACACATTAATCATATTTATGCAACCTCAGGTCCGCTCAACATACTTCCCCTCTGCAGTGGCTCTACACCTTTCCCAGTGTGAGACATAGGCGTTTCTAGACCATTTTTGGGGGTGCTGAAGCCCCCTAAATTGAATCCAAGCACCCCTAAAATTTGAGAGAATTTTTTTTTTTTTTTTGTTACTGTATGTCCCTTTTTAACAAGCTAGAAAAGTGTCAAAACCATACAGTACCTGGTTGCAACGTAATATTTTAACAACAAAAATACAGCAGCACCCCCCCTTTCCTCAAAAATGGTTTGGTCCACCCCATCCCTCCCACCTTTCCCCGACTCAGGCTCTGAGCACTCTATCTGCCCAGAGCAATGCGCT